AAATAGTCTCTTCAACAACTGGTGCTGGAACAACTGACATCCTCAGGCAAAAAAATGAATCTAGATACCCACTTTATACCCTTCACAAAAACTAACACAAAATGGGTCACAGATCTAAATATAAAACACAAAACTATAAAACTCTGAGAAGACAACATAGAAGAAAACCTATATGATCTTGGGTATGGCAATGACTTTTTAGATATAACACCAAAGGCATGGTACATGAAAGAAATAATTAGCAAGCTGAACTTTATTAAAATTCAAAACTTTGTACTGTGAAAGACAATGGAAACAGAATAAGAAGACAAGCTACAGACTAGGAGAAAATATTTGCAAAAGACAAATCTGATAAAGAACAGGTATCCTAAATAGAGAACTCTTAAGACTTAGCAATAAGGAAACAAACAACTAGATTAAAAAATTGTCCAAAGACCTTGACAGACCTCATCAAAGAAGGTACACAGTTAACAAATAAAGATGAAAAGATGCTTCACACCATGTGTCATGAGGGAAATGGAAGTTAAAACAACAATGAGATTATCATTACACACCTATTGAAATGGTCAGAATCTGCAACACTGACAACACCAAATGCTGCCAAGGATGTGGAGCAACAGGAACTCTCATACATTGCTGGTGGGAATGCATAATGGTCCAGTCATTTTGGAAGACAGTTTGGGGTTTCTTTCAAAACTATACATATTCTTGCCATAAAATCCTGCAATCATGCTCCTTGGTAAAGGAATTTAAGCACAAAAACCTGCACTATTATATGACTCTGTTTATATGAAATGTCCAGAACAGGCAAATCTATAGAGACAGAAAGTAACTTGCTTGTAGCTAGAGGGAAGCAGGAATGAGGAGTGAATACTAGTGGATAAGGGGCTCTTTTTGATATGATGAAAATGTTCTGTGATTACATAGTGGAGGTTTTGCACAACTTTGTGGATATATTAAAAATCAAAACCCACTGAACTGTGTATTTTAAAATGGTGTGGTTTATGGTATTTGAATTATATATCAATGAACAATAACAAGTTAAACAGAATGACATATACAAAGTGCAGGAAACTTAGTAGGAGCTCAAAACATGTTCTTTTTCCTTCACCCCCCTGCTTGCAGAATAGATGGATGAATGTGTGTAAAGGTAGGTGAATAAGTGAATAGAGAGATAAATGCATAGATAAGTGGATGGATGGATAGCAGGAAGGAAGGAGGGAGAGGAGAAGGATGGGGGATGATACAATAGCATGCGAGGTAACTCTGCCTGGACAATGAGCACTTCAACCACGAGCACTACCCTATGCCTTGAGCTTTATCATCCATCTATCCGGTCAGCATAGAGGCTGGCACACATTGGGATCTCTGTACATGGTAGATCCTTCAAAGGGACATGCCCAGGATCATATAGAAAGTAAGGGGCAGAGGTGGAATTCAAATGCAGGGCTGTCCAGCTTTAAAGTGATGCTCATCCTACTGCAACAGTGTCTTGTAAACTGTGAAGTTATAGACAGATGCACAGGGGATGTGAATGACAGTTACACTGGCCTGTCTGTACTTCCATAGCTACGGAACTGTTCTCACCTTTGGATTTGCTTCTTAAACTAGGTTGTCAGATCTGTGTTCCCTCTCGAAACTTTCAGGGGGCAGTGGGGCAGGTGTTGGTGGCAAGAGATGAGGTCCTTTCTCCCAGTTTTACTTCCAGAAGATTTTTTTCCCATGAGCTGCCCACTGAGCCCAATGTCAGCCCCTCAGGACACATAATCAAGCTATCCAAAGACAGAGCTGAATGAGCTGCTGTTGTGATTGACAAACTGAAGGCAGGAGAGGGAACATGAGAAATCAAGGGCCACGCAGCCAGCTGGTTACAAAGCTAGTCAAAAAGGAACAGAGCATTGAAATCAAAATCAACCTCTCAGAGCCTTACCTTTAAAGAAAATGTGGTTCACCAGAACCATGGCTGTCAGAGGTTCAAGCTCTTGGATTAAGTTTACAATCTTTCCTTCGGTAACCTTCTCCACGTAGCTGTTGATCTTCTCCCGGGCAGTGAAGGTGTTGGAGAAATCTGTAGAGAAGACTTCTGACTCATACAGCCTCTTGACATTGTCCAAGAAATTGGTCTGCAACTGAAGCTCTTTTTTGATGAAGAGGACATTCCCCATCTTCAAGGCCAGGTCTTTGCTGGGGACACTGAGAGAATGGACCAGGTGCTGGAAGCCCTGGTGAATGGCAGACTCTGGGGTGTGTGTGGGGTTGAACCCCAGGCTCTGGAGGATCTGGGTCTTGGTAGCCGAGCAGGCCCCAAGAGAGAGCATGGCCAGGGCAGTGGAGACACTCACAGGGGAGAAGAAGATGTTCTGATCTGGAGCCTTCAGAACCAGCCTCCGGTACAGGCAAAAGGCAAAGTTGGTGTTGCTGAAAGACACTTGGGAGGCAGGGCTGCTCTTTGGGGAAGGATGGCAGGGGAACCCATTGCTGGGGGAACTAGATGGGGAAACACAGCAGATTGGAGTGCAGAGGCCAGCAACTAAGAAAACTTGATAAAAGGGAGATGCCATTTTGGAACAAAGTAAGTCTGCAAGAGAAGAAAGAACCATTCAGGGGAGGTACACTGAAGGTCCAGTCCCTGAATCCAAGATCTCGCAGCACCCTACACGGTTAGCAACAGAATGAGGGCAAGCAGGGTAGGTAACAAAACACGTTCTCTCATGTAACCTCATTCAATCCTCCCAGGAACCCCCTGATGTAGATATTATTATTGGCCTTGTTTCACAGATGAGTAAACAGGCCTCTGCGAGGTCACGTCATCTACCTCAGGTCACGCGGCTACTCTGTGTTTGGTCCAGGATTCAAAGTTGTGCCTCAAATCCCAAATCTCAGATCCCATGCACTTTGCTATTTACACTTCACAGATTTATTTTTTAAGAAGTGAGACAGTGAAACCAGGTTGCAAGATCTCAATCTTAGCAGCCACGAATGACCTCTTCTTTCTCCTCAGAGATCCCTCCAAACACTCTTTGTCCCCTTTGTGTAGCTGTGATCACTTTCTTGCCATGGCTGCCCATCAGCGGCTGCAGGCAATTAGTGGCATGCTGACATCCCTCACAAAGCAGGAGCCGTAGCTGTCCTTGCACTGATGTCCTCCAGGTGCCCTGAGCGTGGGTGACCGGTCTCTGATGAGCTGCTAGCCCCAGCCACGACTGCTTGCGCCTCCCGCAGCCTCATTCAGCAGGACTGAGGCACCAGGGTGATCTCAGACTAAATGACCCTAAGGCAGTTGGAAACTCCAGCTGTTTCGGAGTAGCAAAGGTTGGGCTTGCGTCTAACTCTGACGTTCACAATGGTCAAGTCTCTAACCTCTCTGTACTTCAGTTTTCTTTTCCTGCTTTGAAACACAGGGATGACTGACTGTGCCCTGTAGAGTTGTTCAGAGTATTGACTGCGATGAGGTCACATGTCTCGGTCAGGCCGGTGTTAACGTGATAGCCACCATTTCCAACAATCTCTTGGTTGAAACTGAACTTATGTGAGCCAAATAACATTTTATTGTCATACTCAATATGGCTAAAATTAGAAGAAACTTTTTACTGAATGAGTAATTCCTTCCAGAAACTGAATTTATCTCCATTCCATTTATCTGATTGGGTAATTTTTGTTTTGTAGTTTTGTGTCTGTTTGTTCAACTGAAGTTGCGTTTTCTCTCTAAGCCACACTGACATATACCCACCCACCTACTGGACTCTTTATCCACATGCTCTACACTGACCTCCTAAGCTGTCCACCACCCTGAGCCTCATCTTTTTCCTCCCTTCTCCAAGGTGGGCACATTACCCAAGCTGCCAAGTCAAGGCTGACCATCTGGACTCTTAAATTACGCTCCTTCCCCACATCCAGGGAGTGGCCAACTGTTCTTTCTTCTTGAGATGTTTAAGCCCTACCTTCCCTCCATCCCCCTGCCCTACCCTCGGTCTAGACCCTCCTCATCTTTTCCTTGGACCATCCTGAAGACCTCAGGACTCATCTTCCTCCCTCTGGCCATATTTCCTCAAATAGATTTTGTTCAGTATATTGCCAGAGTGAACTCCACCAGCCTGACTCTGCACAAAGGCCATGTCCTAGAGGACAGAAGCAAAATCCTCTGAATGGTACATGCCCTCCAAAAGTTAACCCTTTCCCCCATCTTTGGTGCATTGCCCAATGCATCTAGCTGCAGTCCCTCTGCATTCTACAACAATGGCCAACTGCATATGACCATGCGCCCCCGAGCTCATCTCCTCACCCTGCCAGCCTACCCTGACATACCCTATGTAATGCCTTTGTGCCTTGGCACAAGCTGATTCTTCTCTGGGGTGCACTCTCCCTCTGCTCATGGAAAATCCCTTCTTTCTCACTCTTGAAAACTCTACTTAGCCATTTGCCTTCTTGAGGGGCATCCCTGACCCATCCCGGCTGTGGCATCATTAATCTCTGCCCTTTCTCCTCTCCTCCTCCTTCTGAAACTCGGTTCTACTTCTATTACTGCATGGATGATCATTGACTACATGCATATCTGGCCAATCATCTCTACATTTGTTGATGAATAGGGGACATTTATTTATAATTCATGCATTCGACACATTGATCTGGACATACAAGCTCTATATGAGTTGTCAGATAGCGCTACCGACAGGTAAACAGGGTCCTTGCCCTTAAAGAGCTTTTGGGAAGATAGGTGATGAGCAAATGCCACCAGGAATGAGAAGTATATGTGGTGGGTCAGCACAGGCTTTGAGCATACCTATCTCATGGTAAGGATGGCTTCTACAGGAAATGATAGCTGGTTGAGACTTGAAAAATGTTAGCAAGGTGAAAGGAACTAGAGGAGAAGAAAGTTTAGGCCAAGAAAACTGCCTGTACGAGGTAGGTTTGAAGGATAGAGTTGTTCCATGAAACAGAATCTCAGCACCAGAGAAGTTGGTGGGGACGGGAGCGGTAAGACAGCTGCAGAAATAAGAGGCCACGTACAGGGATGTGCAGACAGGAATCCGGACCATGGGATCCATAGGGGAGTGCCTCAGCCCAAATGCAATTTTCAAGGACTGTCCTGGGAGCCACATGTAATTCATGGCTCTACCCACCCGCCGGCATGGGTCAGTGCTCGGTGTGGTTCAGCAGGTGCTCGGTGCACGGGCCTGAGATGGTAGAGCATTTACGCCGGTGTCAGAACCAGGATGGAAGGGAATGAGGGAGGGAGGAACATGGGATTAAAATCCTGCATTTCTCCTGTTTGATGAGCTCTTTGTTAGCTGGGGGTCTTTAGGAAGTCATGTGAGAATGTGAGGTCTGTAGTTACACCTGTGATAGACTGGGGGTCCTCTGGTTAATTTGAGTAGCAATGACTGAGTAGTAGCCCTTGGTTGTAACAGCCAACCAGAAGTCAGAGTCTGAGGACAACCACTGGTTTCCAAACAACTTCAGAGCAATAAATTATGGTGGAAGAATGTCAGCCTTGTACAATCACATTTGCATGTGTCACCTCCCAAGTCTCACTTTCCTCTATCTGTGGAGGAGGTTGGCTCTGAGGAAAAAGTGAGGGAGTCTGTGTAACTCCCAGCGGAGTCTTACCCACAATGGGCATGAGATGATACCTGCTTCTCCCTGGTGGCTCTTGTGATTTTGCCTTCTTTACTTGAGGGCAGGGTGAAGGGACACCTAGGTAAGGATCTTGTCCCCAGATATTCATGACTGTGAGAAAGCATGAGGTTGAAGGGATAGAATGGCACCAAGCCCTAGGGGACGGGAATCACTGCCAGACCCAGTCCAGGAGCCTGTGCCCCTCTCTGGGGAGGGATGAATGTGGGAGGTGGCTCTCAGGGCCACCTGCTAACCCTGGCTGTGCTTCCCAGTGGTCCACATCCCTATCAGCAGACACAGCTTTGCTAGGGGACATCTGGCTCCATGCCCCAAATCCTGCGTGGGTCCTGGGCTGAGCAGAAGAGAGCCCCCTGAACCGGTGGGCCCTCAGAGAGTGAGCTAGTAAGTGTCCTAGCCCTGCCGTGGCCTTGGCCTCCTTGTGACATTAGGCAAGACACTGCTTCTCTCTGGGCCTCAGGGAGGTGGCATCAAAGGGCTCCCTTCCTTGGCCATCTGGGCTCCACAGCCATGGCCTTAAAGGGCAGGTCCTCTCTTGAAGGAAAGCTCTGGAAAGAGCTCCTTCAGATGGCTTCTAAAGTCCAACCTCTGATCACGTTTGGCCCCACCCCATCCCAAACTCCTGTCCTCATATGGCTTCCCCTTCTCTCCCCCAGCCCCACAAAGGCCCTCATCCTCTCTCTGCTGCCATGCAACTGTGGCCTATGGAGTGTGCCATGTCGTGGGCTCTGCCCATTGTGGTGACAGGGGCACTCTGTCCTTATCCAGGCTCCTCTCTCCCAGTGGCCCCTGCCTTCATCCCCCCTTTCATCATCTCTCCTGGCTCCCGGCTGCAGTCACTCTGCCAACAAAAGAGAACTTTCCAGATACAAAGTCCTTGTGTCACTCACCTATTCAGAATCCTCAGTGGCTCCCCATTGACTTTGGGAAGAATTCCCAAGCACCTGGCATTCAAGGTTCTTCTTCATTGGACCCCAACTTACCTACCCAGCTTTGTCCTTGAGCCACAGCAGTTCCAGTTTCCTGGAGAGGTTACATTTCCTCCCACCCACCTACCCTTGTCTTTATTTGTCTCTGAATCCAACTCCAGTGTTACAGGGCTTCATTTCATTCCAAAACCCTACACTCCCTTGGGCCTTAGTCTTTGTGGCAAACGTGGACAGAGATGGGATTTTAAATCCGTGTGACTTTAGGCAAGCGAGTGTCACTACTCCAAACCCAGAATTAAGCGGTGGGGGACAGTGGCTCAGCAAGTCTCTGGTACATTGTGGATTCTCAGTCACCCCTGGTCACAAAACACTGCTCAACTCACTTGTTTACTGGTTGTAGGGAACATCTCACCTTTTCCATTTCCTTAAGATGGACTCCTCACCCCGCCATGCAGGCATATGTGCGCACACACACACACACACACACACACACACACACAACACACACACATCAGACAACCGTGCCTCCTGCCTCCCATAGAAGAGAGGCCCCCAGAAAGGGGCCTCAACCCCCTCCACCAGAGACATACCCCTGCCTCCCCAGCACCCCTCCTTCTTTCCACCATCCTTCTAAGGCCACCCCCTTTCCCATATTTTATAAGTCTCCTTTACCTCCGTCTCTGGGTGCTTACATCTCTCTTCTGTATTTAAACACTCCTTCTCACCCGGATCCTTGCCAGTGACTTTGAAGCATGTTCAAGTCCTGCTTACTTAGACAAATGACCACCACCAACGAATCTTTAAGACCTCTGCCCCCTGTTACCTTCCAGCACGGCCTCTCTCCATCCTCCCCAGCACAGCCTGACTCCTCAAGGGCTACGTGGTCACGGTCTCCACCGCCTCACCTCCCTCTTGCTGCCTGGCCTGCTCCAGCCTGGCTTCCAGGGCCACAGAAATGGGACCAGCCTCTGATCACGCCCAGATCGCATCTCACCCAGCCTCTCAGCAGCATCGGTGCTGGAGCCCACACTCGTCCCTCACCTGTCCTCCCTTCGTCTCTGCAACACCACGTTCTCCTCCTTTCTTCCTCTCCCTGCAGCTCCTCCTCAGCCCCTGTGCCTCCCCTCCCGGCCCCTGTGCTGGGAGCCTCAGCACTCAGTACTCAGCACTCAGCACTCAGATAGCAGCGCCCTCCTCACTTTAATCCCTTCTCTATCTGGGGCTGATCTCGTCACACCCCTGGCTTTATTACTGACAGAGACACATCGCTTATTATTTCTAATCTCCAGGCCAGACCTTTCCTTTGAACCCCATATACCTGACTACCTACTTGGTTTCTCCTCCTGATGTCGCAAATGAACTGTGAGATCAGTAGGACCCAGACTGAACTCCGGCTCTTGCTCAAGCACCATCTCCCTCAAGAAGTTACAACAGACGCCTTCTTTCAACATCTCTCTCTGTCCACCACTAACCTAGTGATTTTGAGCTCAGTACTCACCCCACACCCCCTTCTTCCTCATTCCCCGGGCCAGCACATCACTGGCCCGCGTTAACAGGCTCCCATAGCCTCCCTGGCCTGAGGCTTTCAGCCCACCTTCCCAGCCCGGGGGATCCACTGGCCGCCGCCCTTCATCGCACATCTCAAAGGCCCTCACTTAGGGCTGCTGTGTCCAGGCATTCTGCCCACTTTGATGAACCTTATAGGTGATACTTGTGCACTTCTCCCGGAGCATTCTTCCCACCCGCTTCACCACATTGTCCCCCTCATTAATTCCTATTTATTGTTTGGGTCCTAGCTCATGTCACTTCCTTAAGGAAGCTCTCTTTGACCACCTACGTAAGAAAAATTCCTCCCATTAAATTTTTTTATAGTACTATTAACCTCTTAGTGAAACACTAATTATGGACTTATCACTGTCATAACTTCACAGTTATTGGTGTGAAATTTATTAATCTGAAAATTTAATCTGTCAGTGAACTTGCCTATCTTGTTATCCCTGTACACCACTGTTTGGCCAATACTAAGAGCTCAGTAAGTGTTTGCTGAAGGAATGAATGGACTGAAATAGAGTAAATGAACAATTTACCTTTGAGGGGTGGTAGTGATTAGAAATGAGCAAGAGAGATGCAAGGTCTTAATTAAGATGATAGTTACACAGGTGTATGCATATATAAAATTTGAGTTGACTTATACTCCTGGCCAAGCAAAGTAACTAACACTGGACTTCTAAATAGTTGTAAACAGTTAGAAAACTGAAAAAACCTATGAAACAATTCAGACATTGGGCAACAGGCAGAGAAGGGAAACAAATAGTGTAAGCCCTATGATTTCCCCAATTTTCTGCCTAATGGCACTTTCTAGATATAGGAAGGGAAGCCCAAGGAGAAAATGACAGGCTTGCTAAGCTTAGAAGATAGATGTCAGAGCTTGGGAAGGCTAAGGAAGCTACATTTTGTGTAGTAAAAGTAAGCATTAGCTTAATTCCAGAGCTAAGGGCTAAACTTTGCTGCGTAAAGTAAAACTCCACAAGACTGGTCCCAAAACAAAACAAAACAAATCTGCTTTGAAGATGTAAGCAGAACAATTCCTCAAGTTCACATAGCATGGGGAGATACTTAGGTTATAAACAGCCAGAGTGAGAATTTCACTGAATATCTGCAACATTCAGTAGAGATCCTAGAAGTGTCACATCTTGACATTAGAGCTAAACTAACTATGGTTTAAAGCTAATCTAGATTCTACAACAAAGCTCAAAAACATGATATGCATGGTCAAATCTTTAACAGGGTAAAAGAGCTCTGCAAATAATTTCATTTGCTGTCAAATGTCAACACGCTGTAAAGGAAGTCAACAAAGTCTAGACAAAAATATTGTAATGCCATACCCAGCCTCCAATCACAAATTCAACATTCTAGGAAATGTGACTCATGACCAGGAGGAAAAAAAAAATCATTCAACAGAAACAGACCTAGACCTAACACAGATTATGAAATTAACAGACAAGCGCTTCAAAACAGCTATCTAAAATATGTTTAAATAAGGAAAACATTAATATAATGTGAGAAAAACCAAAACTATAAAAGTGCATCAAATCGAACTTTAAAGATGAGCAATTCAGTACCTGAAATGAAAAATGTGCTGGCTAGACTTAGAGAAAATTTAAACAGTAGAAGTAAAGATCAGTAAGTTTGAAAACGTAGGGGTAGGAACTATTCAAACCGAAGATGGCAAAAAAATTGGGGGGAAAAGCCACGGAGCCAGGGACCTGTGCGACAGAAATCAAGCCGTGGAATGCATGTGCAGCTGGAATCTAGGCAAAAAGGCAATAGGGGAGAACAAAACACGGCGAGGAAATAATAGCCAGAAATGCTCTGTAGTTTATTCTATGTAAACTACACTCAAACTTAAAAAGACTAAGTACAATAAGGTGGAAGGAATGCAGCCCTGTCATTCCCGTTCCTGTGCCCTGTGATGGCACATGATTCTCCGTCTACCCAGACTGATCTCCCCTCTTTCCTGCTCAACAAACTCCCGCCCATCCTGCCAGCTCCAGGTTCCAAACCACCCATTCCTCAGTCTTCCTGGACCCTCAGGAAGTCTTCCCCGCCCTTTATCAACACCTGGAGCAAACCAGAGCAATTTACCTCCTTCTGTGTCTGTCTCCGGAGTAGACAGTCTGGACCTTGTGCGGCTTCCTCCAGGGCAGGGACTGTGGTCAGCAAGTGATGGGGACAGAGGAAGAAAGAATAAGGGACAATGTGGATGGAGGGGGGAGTGGGAAAGCAGTGGGGGGAATGCTGGGGACCCCAAGGGCCAGGCTCCATTGGCTCGCCCACCCCAGGGACTTTGCAAAGGCCTGCAGTTGGTGAAGCAGGTAGGCAGCCTGAAGGAGTATGGGGATCCCCTGCTCCCAGCTGTCAGGAGAACCTGTATTCTCATTAAAATGAGCACTCTCAGGCCATGCCTGGAACTACTGAGTCAGACTTTCCAGGGAAAGATGAGAAGACATGAGAGTGAGGGGGGAGGAGTGCCTCCTTCCCCTACGAACTTCTGCCCTCGCCCCAGAGCCCAGCCCTAAGAGCTTGCTTCCAGCGCTAAGCTCCTCAGCTTCCGGGCCTCAGGGCCCCCATCAAGAGGGGCCCTTGTCCCAGGCCCGTCCTCCCCCAGGGAGACTTTCCCGCCATGTCCAGGCCTTGCTAGACCCTTCCTTTCCTGGCCGAAGGGTCTCTTGCTTATCACACATCTTAATGCTTCGGTCCCACTTTTGGCTTATAGAGATCTTCATACCACTTTTTAAAATCTGGCTACAATTTTCCACTTTTAATATTTTTTTTCATTTCACCTATCCTTGCTGTCAACCGTGGAGCAGATTGGATGCCTCCAGGCTAGACTCACAATATCATTTTAAGCAGAAGCTAGCCTTCAGAAGCCTCCCAAGAGGGACCAAACGATACCCACTGGGGACAAGCGCACCCTTGTCCTGAGGGAAGTGCTCCCCAGAATTCCTTGCAATCTCTTTTGTTGTAACACTGCTCATTTCTTACCCTGTCCAGTGGGGTCCCCTAACTTTCAGGACACTGAGCCAAGCTGAGGGGGGAAATAGAAAAGGGGGGTAGATCCAGACAGATCCCAGGCACTGAGGGGTTTTGCCTGGCCATTCATTTGTTTTCAGTTGGTTTTGGCTAGGAGGTCATTATTTCAATAATACGGGACTCATGGCGCCCTGCTGCAGATGGGATCTCATCCTGGAGGGCTCTTTCCCAGCCTAGTCCAGGAATCTGTGATTCCTTTGCTCACGTCACACCGGATTCTACCACCAGATCCAGCTTTATTGTGCGTATTCAAATCCAGCCATAAAGGCTACCTGTGCTGGAACAAGAAGCAGCCAACACAGAAGCCCGCCTGGCTGCCTTCCTCCCACTCTGGACACCTTCACGAGGCACTGCGAACATGGATGGGTGTCTACCAAGTGCAAAGTAGTATCACATGCTTTACATCAGTTAATCACCCCTAAATATCCTGCAAGATGGCTTTGATGATCGCCACTTCACAGAGAGGAAAACTTAAGGATTTGGTGCAATTAAGTGCCTTGCCTAATGCCACAAACCAAATACACTACAGACCGGGGGTTTGAACTTCAGCCTGTCTAACTGCAGGGCCTCCCGCCAACCTCTGACCATTTGAAGCCCCTTGAAATAAAAGGCTATTAAGTGTAATACGGTATCCTGGGCTTGAGCCCTGAGCAGATGAAAGGATAGTGGGGAGAACTGCTGGAATCCACATGAAGTTCAGTGAGCAGTGCGCCACCATGGGATGCTTCGTTGGGACAACTGTGTGATGGTTATGTGAATGTCAGCT